GGTGCATGGCAGGGGCGAACGCAATCCGACACGACCGTAAGCGAGACGTCCGCTCTGCTTAGTTTGAACAGGTCTTCTGCAAGGTGCCTAACCCACGGCATCTGTTGTCTCTGGTTTGGTCTTGCGTACTGTCGTCCCCCCTGACTCCCTCGCAGAACTCGTCTGCCGAAGAAGGGATGCATTTCCTGTGTCTCTACTACAAGAACAAGGGCGACTACACCAGGGCATCCAAGATGGCGAACGGTCTCCTGGACTACACGGGAACGGTGAGTTTCCACTCTCAACGTTTTCTCTTGGTATCGTGAACCGTTGATAGCATGCTGCTTCGGCTGGTGGTGGTGTTGGAGTTATTGCTGCTTCCTGCGCCGCCGCCGCTGCTGCTTCCTGCTGATGTTGCTTGTTGCCACAGGTTTTGCGATTTTGAACGTTTACGTCGTTGTTGTTGCCGGGGGTCATCTGTTGGCATGTTGATGGTTGGTACCGCTCTTATTGTGCGGGTATTTTTTGGGACGTTTCTTGTGATGGAAGGGACAACGCCAGGGTTCCCGCACGCCGATCTGCTCTTTTACCCTGCTCCATTTTTGTTTGCTCTTGTTCAGTATATCCAGACGCGCATTGGCAAGGCATCCAACCACCTCCAGAAGAACCCATGGACACGCGGCGGTCCATCTCGCACTTTTCACAACATGTTTATTGGAGTAACTGCTGTGCAGGATGGATTTCTCTCTATGTTCTTCTGATCCTGTTCGCTACGCATTCATACCCACGCCCCCCCAAATCGTAATGTAGGGTTGTCCCTGTGACTTTCGCTTGTTTTCACAGCCTTGGCCTTTTCGCGATTTCCAGCGATAGTGGTGCCCATTTTCTGCTAGACTTATTTATCGTCACGCCCACCGTTCCTCTGCACCCACGTCGCACGCACGACGACACCACAACAGTCGCGTGAGGCAGCACTGGCGGTTCTGAGAGAAATCCGAAGCATAATGGAAACCCGGCAACACCAAGCCGCCGAGTCTTCCGCCCTACCTCAGCCCCACAACGCCAACAACAGCCACGACGACGTCTCCCTTGACGGGGGCAGCGGACGGCCCCTCTTCACGCCGAGGGCGGCGACAGGGTCATCTCACCACGACGGTAGCGGAGCGGGCGGCAGTCAGCTGTTCAACGCCAACAACAGCGGCCTTGGTGGTAGCGTTCGTGGTGCAACAAGAGCAGCAGCGGGCACTTTCCCCACCCCGACCCCTCGTAGACCCGGCAGGGTCCGCAACGGGGTTTCACCAGGAACAGGCGGAGGCGGCGGGGGAGCCGCGGGAGGCGGGGCCGGATCAGGGACTCCAGGCTATCGGCTGATGGGCAACAGCGGAGGGGGGACTTCTTTGGCGCCACGGTCCCCGGAAGACATGAGCGTCGCGATGAGCCTTGGGTCTTCAGACGAAGACGACGACGGAGGGGCGTTGGCCCGATATTCACCGGGCATAGCGACGCCGGTCGCGACTGGCCATGGTGGTGCGGGTGCCGGGCATGATGGGTCGCCTGAGGCGGGCGGAGACGGGCAGGGCGAGGAGTCTTTGAGCGATATCCTGTCCCCATGACGGCGCCCGGACCTCGATCGTTTCTAATGTTTCCAATGGATCGGCCCGTAGCGTTGGGTTTCGGTGACTAGGGTGATGGCCCGCCCGGGGACCACAAGCTAAACGCCTCTTTCCCCCCCCTGATGCATTCGATATTTTTTCTTCGGGTCGAGATAGTGCGTGGTGCACCGAAGGGAGAGAGAGACGTACAGGAGACGAGAAGCCGTTCGAGCTATTCTTGGTTTGATCCTTTGTTTACCTAATATCAAAGTAGGTGCCGAAGTGGAGATGAAAACGATGGAGAACGGCTGCTTTGCTGCCACCAGACGGACATAAATTGTGCTCTTGAAAATATCCGTGGATAATGGATGGTGCGAGTGCAGTGTCGTGATGGAGAGCCTTTGCGCAGAGGAAGGCCAAGCCCGAAGAGTCCATCGTTCTAAAGAGCCGTGGCCACGGGAGTAGCAACCTGGGTCTCCTTCTACACGTTTTGGCAAGTCCCCGTAGCTCATGCTGGAGGTGACGAACGCGACACTCGAATAAATCCACGCGGGAAATATCCCATTGCGGCACAATCCAGCGCTCACAAATAGACGCTTTGGTCTTCAGTGTCAACCTCAACCCGACCACGGTAATCTGTACCAGGTATGCTTTCCGATGCTGATATGTCGTCGAGTCTCGGCGTCTTAGCTGGGGTATTGCCGGATCCATTGATCGGCATTTTATACGCCTTTTGCTCCATCTTCCGCCGCCGCCTAGTTTTTAGTGTGACTTGACCTACAAGAACGAAAAGTATGGCTTCGCCGTGCCATGCCATCACGCATTAAAA